AAAAATCTTTATTTTGGAGCCTAATTTTTTTTTTGGAGCCTAATTTTTTAACCAGGCATGCTTAACAATTAAGTTGATATGCAAATATTCCAAAATCTGAGGAACCCTTTTTCTCCCAAGCATTCTGGATAAAGGGTACTCAACCTGCATTCTGTTGAATATGATATAACATAACCCACTTGCAAAACTGGGCATCTAAGGAAGAGCACACACCAAACCTCTAATTCCTTCCCACCACTCTCAGGTATAACATTATATAATGGGCTGAAGGGTGGCCCCTCATGTTAGCTGGCTTTGCATCACTGTGGCCAAAATACACAAGAGAAAGTTAAGGTAGAGGATTCGTTTGGGCTCAGTTTCAGAGGCTTCAGTCCACGGTCACTTGGTTCTGTTGCTTCTCAGTCTAGCAAGGCAGAAACCATGGGGAAGGGGTGGTGCAGGGACACTCCTCACCTCACAGCAGACAGGAAGCAAAGAAGGGGACAAAAGATCGTATACCAGATCAAGACCCAGGCACCCGGGCTGGGCATTTAGCTCAGTGGCATAAGTGCTTGCCTGATAAGCATGAGGTTGTGAGTTTGATCCCCAGCACCAAAACAAAAAACAGAGACTCACCTCAACAATTCATTCAATTATGAAATCAGAGCATTAGTTTTTTGATGAGGTTAGCACACTCATGATGCAATCAGATTCCAAAGCCCTACTTCTGAACACATTAGCCTTTTGGGGGACATTTTTGATCCAAACAATTACACCCTCAAAATAGGTCCCTAAATCCTAGTCTCAGGATTTTCAAAAGTGACCTTATTTAGAAAGCGGATGTTTGCAAATAATTAAGTTAATGATCTTAAGATGAAATCATCCTGGATATAGGATGCCTCTTAAGTCCCAATACAGTATCCTTATAAGAAAAAAGCAGAGAGAGGTTTAACTTAGGAATACAGAGGAGAAACCAGGTAAAGACAGACAGAGACTCTGGATGTAAGCTGCCAAGGAAAGCCTGCAGCCACCCACAGCTGGAAGACGCAGGGGACATTTGTCACCTCAAACATTTGGAGCAAGTGTGGTCCTGCTTTTACCTTCATTTTGGTCCTGAGACCTCCAAAACTATGAAAGAATAATTGCCACCGTTTTTTCTTATTCTTTTAAACCACTTGGTTCATAGTGATTCATTATGACAGCCCCAGGAAACTAATTTATACTGAAATTACCAGTCTTTCATTTATTAAATTCATCATCTAAAAATCTTTATTGGCATCAAGAGCTTAGAAAGCTTAGTTGATAACCATTTGGCTTTGGATTAGGAAGTCAAGGTTCAAAATGCTATGCTCAGAATACTCAGAAATTTTAAGAATATATGCTTAGAAAATTACACACATATATAGATGTATGTATGAATGAATGAATGTGTAGACAGGACAGGCTGGACTTGGTGACCCACACTTGTAATTCCAGCTCTCCTTAGGCAGGGAGGCTGAGGCAGAGGATCCCAAATTCTGTCTAACCTGGACAATTTAGCAAGAAAAAAAATTTTTTTCTTTGAAAAGGAAAAAAAATAGGACAGTTCATTAGCTACTTTGTTCCCAGGAGTGGGGGGGACTTTTCATGCAAAGCATTTTTCTGTGAATGGATAGCATTTCTTAGGGATGAGGATTATTTATAACATTCCTGTAGTACCCTAATTAGCTTTTCTCTAATGTGCACAAAACGTAAAAGACAGAAAATGAAAAAGAACACAAAGAGCTTAGATTTCACCCACAAGTCTGCCTTGTCGCCTGCAATCTGTCAGAAAAGCCTGTAAATCCCTGCTGCATTTTTTTTTTTTTTTTGGTATAAACACATTTTACTCTGCGTCTTTCTCTTTCTCTTATGCTAATAAGAAATTTTTAAAGCAAACATGAGCTAAAACGGAAGGTAAGCAGCAAAGCACGCTTCTCCAAATGCTCTGTTATCCCCGCTCTGGCTTCGTTTTTGAATCATTCTCAGAAAATTCTACTAACAACCATCATCCTCCAGACCCAGCGGAGCTTCTCTGGAGCTCGGGTACTCTAGCCTGGGGGTGCAGGGGGACACCCCAGGATTCGGCCTGAAGGAGGAGGGGGTGCTGATAACAGAACAGAGGAACCAGGGGTGGCAGAGCCTGAGTGTGAATCCAGAGCCCTTCACTTAACAGCGAGACCCCAGGCCAGTTCCTTTCTGTTAAACTGACAACTTAAAATTATGCATCCTTAACACTTTTATTTATACGAGTACAGGTCTGCAGTACTTCATAATTACATTCATCGTGGGCAACTGCCATGTGCACCTGACACGTCTTAATTCTTTTCAGATTCCCTTTCTCTCCTATTCATCCTCCTCCCTCCGTCTCTTGGGAAAACTGTATTTTATTGTATGCAGCACGATGCTTTGCTATTCCTGTGCACCACAGAAAGATACATTAAGTTCTTTAACATATGCATTACCTCACATGCTTATCTTTTCTTGCGGGGGTGGGGTGGGGGGTGGAAACACATTAAATCTGCTCTCCCAGGAATTTCCAAGTGCACAGGAATTTCCGCCATGGCATATGCTCTTGAACTATCCCTCTTGGTTGAAGTTCCCTGTCTTTGACCAATACCATCTGAACCTCCCACCTGCCAGCTCTAAGAAACACCATTTTATTTTTGCATTCTGTGAATTTGGGCTTTTGTTTTGCTGTACCTCCTGCATGTCAGGTGAGCTCTCTACCACTGGATGACACCAGCTGTGCCTTTTTAAATTTTTGTTTGAGATAAGGGCTAAGTTGCTCAGGCTGGCCTTGAACTTACAATCTTTTTGCCTTAGCCTCCCAAGTAGCTGGTATTACAGGTGTGCCTGGCTGAATTTGAATTTTTACACTCATAGGTGAGGTCATATTGTCATTTTTGTTTTTCTGCTTTATTTTGTTGTTTTGAGACAGGGAATCAGTATGTTGTTCAAGCTGACCTTAAACTCACAGCAATCCTCTTGCCTCAGCCATCTGAGTTCTGAGATTACAAGTGATATTTATCTTTCTGTGCCTGCTGCATTTCAGTTAACATAATGTTCTAGGACTCACCTGCATGGTTGCAAATGACAAGGTGACAGGGTTTCCTTCCTTTGAAGGCTGAATAGTATTCCATTGTGTATATACACCATGGTGAGTGGTCACTTTGGTTGATTCTTTTTCCTGGCCATTGTGACTGGTGTTACCTTGGACATGCAGATGTTCCTTCATCATACTAATTTGATATCCTTTGGATTTGCTACAATCCAGCAGCCCCAGTATTGAAGATATTACACCAGAGCTTTTGAGGAACTTCCATACTTAGAGACAAGCAACTTAGCCCTGAGTCTTGGCTTCCTCCTTTGTAAAATGAGATAATAATGGTGTCCATTGCATGGGGTTTTGAAATTGGTGTTGCCAAAACTTGAGGTCAATTCTCCTCCTTGTCTTCCTCAGTCTATTAGAACTCTTTGTTACTTTCTCCACTTGCTTTGGAACTCAGCCCTTTCGCTCCTCTACCTTCTGCAGCTCCCCGGAGCATATGCCCCCTTCCTAGGCAGGCGTCTGCAGCACTGAGATTTGGTCCTTGGCCCTCATGTTTTCTCTCCCCCTTGATATCACTCAGACCACCCCCTCACCCATCAGCTTCCTGCTGAAGAGCCCTGCGTCAAATCCCAGCTTCGTCTCTGCCGTTGACTACACAATCCACTCAGCCCCTTTCTACAACACCTCATCTGTTGCCGCCCGGACATCACAGAGTTGACCCATCCACTCCAGACTCTTAGTTTCCATCTCCAGACCAGCATGGCTCCCTTCCTCTGATTCCTGTGTCAGAAGGTGATGCTTTTAGCTCGGGCTTGGGTTTTAGCTTGAGCTTTTTCTCTTGGTTTTACATCATATCCGAACCCATTAGCAAACAGTGCCATTAACCTTCAGAGAGTACCCTAAGTCCACCATCGCTCCCTCCTCCAGGTTTTCCTTGTGCCTTCAAGCCACACCCTCTCCTTCCCTCCCATTCGCCTCTCAGCTAGCAGACTAATTCCTTAAACACTGATGTCAAAATATCCGCTGCTCAACACTACAGTGATTTCCTCACTTCACTCAGACCTCAGGACCCCAACCAATCCCTCCTTCTCTTCCTTTGCAGTGGCTTCCCACATCTAAGGTAGGGCTGCTGCTCCTCTCTCAAAAGCAGACAGATACACACTCCACGGAGCAATCCCCTGGGGTCCCCTGTCCCCCTCTATCCTCATGCTAAGATACATTTCTTCATCTACTTGGTATTATATAGGTGTCTGTTGTCTGTCTCCCTAACAACTTGAAAATTCCATGAGAGCAGGGGTTTGTTTATTGCTGTATCCTAGAATGTGGTTGATACATTAAGAACTGTTGATCAACTGAATGAAATGCTGAATGAATGAGGCAATGCATGGGAAGCATGGGACTAGCAGTTCATGGATGGGATTCTTTGTCCAGGAGCTTTAAGCTCCCTATCTTCTCTCCTAGCCCTTTAGCCTCCGCAGTGCGAGGCTTAATCTTCCCCACTGGGATCTGGATAACAGCAGGAAAAAAGCAGCAGAGATTACTACTGCAAGAACACCCCCAGCTAGCTCTCCTCGGCTGTCACCAAGTTTGATTGTGACAGATATGCACCTAACGAGTGGTAGAATGACATGGTCTCCAAATAGAGCTGTCAAGTGCCCTGCTCCTCGGAGAGTCTCAGTACTAACAACAGATCGTGTTGGTGTGATCATGTGATTTTTTTTTTTCTTTTTGACACAGAGTCTTGTTTTGTAGTCCAAGCTGCTAGGACTCACTGGATAGCCCAAGACTGGCTTGAAATCGTAATCCTTCTGCCTCAGCCTCCTGAGTGCCAGTGTTACAGAGTGTATTCTCATGCCTGTCCTGTTATTTATTTTTTTCTGTCCTGTTATTTTTATATTCCAGATGTCTCAACAGTTTTTCTTGTCCCAGAGACAATACCTGACTCCCAAAATTTAAAAGAAGGGGGAGATTTATTTTGGCTCATGTTTCAGTCCATGTTCAGTTGGCTCCGAGGCAGGGTGGCATAGAAGAGAAGCCTGGTGGAGGAAAAGCTGCTCACCTCATGGCAGCCAAGAAGCAGAGAAAGATCATTGGGGGAGCCAAGGCGAGAGATGCACCCTTCCAGGCCAGGCCCCCAGGGCTGCCTCTTTCAGCCCAGCCCCGTGTCCCAACAGCAAGCAGCTGTGCCATTCACATCATCCAGACATCTTCCAAAGGTCCCACATCAGATTGCATGAGGCTCTGGGGGACATTTAGATATAAACCTTCCACCCCTGGCTCCCAAAATTCTTGTGTATGTCTGATTATGCGTAATGCATTATAGTCCATCACTAGTAGTTGGCAAAGTCCTCACAGTTCCAGCTCTGCTGAAAAGTCCAAGTGAGTGAGTCCCTGTAAAAAAATAAAAAGTTAAACACTTCCAACTTACAATGCCACAGGGTAAACATTCTCATCCAAAAGAGAGGAACAGGTGAATAGAAAGAAATAAGACCAAAATCCATAGCTCAACCATTCAATCCTGTAGTTCCACGCCCAGTCCCTGAGGCAAGTCACAATAAAGAGATGTTAACTCCAAAAGGCTTGGGTCCTAGCCGCTAGGCACTGACTACAGGATTCTGCACACATTCCAAGTTTCTGGTTTCTCTGACTTCCTAGGACAGGGTGTCCACTAGGAACTTTTGATTTCACTCTCACGGCTTCATCCACTACCCTTTGAGGGGCACGCTTTTGGCCTCCCACGCCTTCTGAAATCACGGCAGAAGCCTCTCTGGCCCTAATCTTGCATTCCACACTTAATACGCCTATAAAACCAGCACCACATGGATGACACCAAGGTCAGCCGCCAGTTTGAATAGCCAGGCGCTGTCGTATCCTGGCTGCAGAGATCTCCAACCACCTGGCTGGCTGTCTCAGCCTGCCCTCTTACCCCGACTCCCCAAGAAAATCGAAGGAAGAAAGAGTTATTTCGGTTCATGTTTCAGTGTAGTAGGCTGGCTCCAAGGCAACACAGCTTGGCACAGGGTTATGGCAGAGGAGCAGCTACCTCATGGCAGGGAGAAAGCAGAGGAGAGGGGAGGAGGTGAGGAGGAAGTTACACCCTTCTAGGCTATGACCTCAATGAGTCTCTGCTTCTAACCAAGTCCCACCGTCTAACAGCAAGTCAGCAATATCACCCTCACAATCCAGTGGCCTTCCAAAGATCCCCCATAGTCTATCACCTTCCAAAGGTCCAAGCTTTGAGCATATGAAGCTCTTGGGAGACATCTAGATATAAACTGAAACAGTTTTGGTCCAGACAGGACGCTGTAGCCAGAAAAGCCTTGGAGGCAAAACCAAGGAGCTCCATCTCCCCCACCCCTAGGAATTTACCTCTGGCGCCAAAAGAGTACCGATGGGCTACCTGTACATCCCTAATGCCCCTCAGGCACCACGCCAACCTAAGCTACATGTCTGCCCCGACCCCAGGGGGAGATGCCGCACCCCAGGGTGTCAGGGGTCTCTCCCTGCATTCTTAAAATAAAGGTCATTTATATTTCATACTTCTTATCTTTTCAGCCACCAGTCCCCACAATTCTATCATAAACCATAACCCCAGTCAACACTTTGATATTTCTGTGTCTTTATACCCCCTTACACTGACTCTGGAAATTAGCTTCCAATTTTGTTTTGTTAGGAAAACACAATTTATCTTTGATATTATTTATCTTTAATATTATTTATCTTTAATATTATTTATCTTTAATATTATTTTGTTTTAAAGATTGTATAAATCTAAATATATTAAATTCTGTGTGAGAAAAGTAAACTTTGGGAAAAGCAAACCAGATACACTTGTATGACTATTTGCATTGGAAACTGGGACATAAAGGTAATTTGTTATGATTCCACCCATTTTTTGAGCTTTGGACCATGTAGAGAACTACATGTAGAGAAGTGAACACACACTCAGCACATTATTGCAAACACACTTTAAGAGAACTTAGAGTCCTTGGGAATCACTGGAACACGGACAAGATGCTCTTCCTGCTGGGATGGTGCTGTACACAGCCAGCTCCCTGCACTTGGAAGGCATCCAAGCCAGTCTCAGACAAGGGTTGTCAGCAGGCAAAGTGCACGGCCACCACATGGGTGACTGACACACAGCCCTGGTGGCTGCAGCGGACCCAGCCAGCGTCAGGCACAAGCCAAAGGCCCACTGGTGGCCCCAGTACTTGGGAGAATTTGGAAAGTTGCTAAGCCAAAGACCCACAGAACTGAGTCTCAGTCCAAAACCAACGAAACCCCCGTCCACTCTAAGGGCAAAACACTTTCGGAGACATCTTGGCAGGACTCTTAGACAGAAGGAGACCAGGTCACTGACTCAGGGAAACCAGACCCTCTCTGGAGGGACCAAATCTTTGGAGGCATGGCTGGAACATTCTTGGGTGGGGCGTTTCGTTGAAAGACAAACAACTTCATAGCTCATCTCCACCCAAAACAAGTCTGCCTCTGAGCAGCCCCCGATGCCCGCTCCTCCTCGAGTCTGGCCACACCTGAAGGCTTCTCATGGCACTCCAGTCTTTGCCCTGGCTATGAGGACCTCTTTTGCCCAACCCCTGGCCTTTTTATGATTCCCCCCACAACTACCCACCCTAGCCTGCATGCTGACCTCTGTCAGGCCACCGGGGAGCTGCCTTCCTGACTATCTCTGTACCTTGGTGCACCTCAGGGACTAAAGAGGGACAAAAAGCCCAGCAGCTGAGTCCAGCTTTTGAATCAGAAACCTAAAATCGTAATTTACCATTTTCAGCAATGTGGATGATCAGGCCTGCATAATTGATGAATAGCTGTGGAGAGTTTGCACCCTTTCCATTTCCTGGCAGTCAGGTAGTAGGATCCAAGGACTGCGTTTGCACACATGTGTGTGTGTGCGCGCACACACACACACACACACACACACACACACACACAAAACCACTGCCAGAGAAAAGACTGCACCTGGGTTCAATTCCCAAGGCACAAAGCACAGCCAAGGTCTCCCAGGACCAGACAGCCAGCCTTTTCCCTTCCTCTAGACAGCTGGCTGCAAGGCTTACTATGCCAGGCAAGGTGAATCCAAGGCATCATTTCTCTGAGAAAGGCCACCCTGCCCCTATAAAGAAGAGAGCCTGGGTGGGATCCCTCTACTAACACATGGAAGACCCCAGAGTGGGTGCGGCTGTGCCCCAGCCTAAAAACATCTCACTAAGAGAGGCAGAGAGAACAGAGAATTTAGCACATACACAGGATTGTGAAGACTTAGTTGGAAAAAAGAATGCAAATTACCTCAATGATATTTTTTATTGATCTATATTGTAATAACAGTATTTTGGAATGTTTGGTTGACATTAAAGTTAACTCTACATTTCCTTTTTAATGAAGCTACTTGGCTAAATATATGGATTTCCTAATTCCTAGAACCTAAGAATAATACATTTATATGACAAAAGGTTCAATTTTTTCTTTTTCCTCTATCTATCTATCTATCGATCGATCGATCGATCGATCGATCTAGTGAAAGGGTCTCTCTATGGAGTTCAGACTGGCCTTCAACTCACTGTATAGACAAGCCTGGCCTCAAATTTATGGCAATCCTCCTGCCTCAGCCTCCCAAATGCTGGGATTATAGGCATGTGCCACCATGCCCAGCATCAGCATTTCTAAAAATAGGAAAAATTGGGATTGTGTAGGAACTTCCTGATAGAATGGCAATACTGCAGAGGGGCTAGACGTAACCTTGACTTGTCTTCTGTTGGAGAAGGAATACATTGGCAGTTGTCACTGAAAAAGTTAGCCTTGTTAGACAGAAGCATCCTTTTGTTTGGTTGGTTGGTGGGGTGGGAGGATAGGTTGGTGGGTGGTTTTTGTTTTGGAGGGACAAGGTCTCATTATATAGCCTAGGCTGGACTCAAATTCAAGATCCTCTTGCCTTAGTCTCCCAAGTGTTGGAATGGTAACTGTGCACCACCTTGATTAGCTTAGACAGATTATCTTTGAGAAACTGTACATCCAGAAGCTGCTGCTCCTCTCTGGAGTACCCACAGCCATAGTGAACAACACAACCCAATCTCCTGAACCGGGATAGGCACTCAATCCAAGCTGAGATACTCCAGGGCCTTTTTATTGAAATATAGACCTGGGAACCAAAGGGACCTAATAATAACTAAACTCAGAGGCTGTGGCGTGGCATTTTCATTTATTGCCCACCACCTGGACCAGCAAGGCAGAGGACTCCAGAATAGAGAGAGAGAAGGACAGATGAAGTCACAAAGGGGATCCTGATGGTAATTTAGTCCTGGTTCCAGTCTCTTTCTGTGGGATGTACCTGTATCTTCATAGTAAATCCCTCTTTCCTAGTGTATCAGTCTGTTTTCTGCTTCTATAATAACATACCTGTGGCCACGTAATCTATAAAGAAAAAACATTTATTTTGATACATGGTTCCAGTCCAAGTCTGAGGGCTTTCATCTGATGAGGCCTTCTCACTGACAGAGTCCCACATGGCAAGAAACACAAAGCACATGTGTGTCTCTCCCAGCCTCTTCGGCTTCTTATGAAGCCACCCCCATGCAATCACAGGCTCCACCGCAATGGCCTTATCCAAGCCTAATGTCCTGCTTCTTTATACCAGAATTGGATTAAGCTTCTACCTTCTTTATTTCTCACTTTCTTAGTTACTTTTCTCTCATTGCTGAGACAAAATTCTCAGCACCCAAGGTTAACCATAACAGTCACCATGAGGACTGGACTCCAGCTTGAGTTTCAGAGGAGACAAACACCAGCTGGTGTACACTGAAGTCTTTTTCATTCTACCAAAGACAGCTTCTCATGGGTGAGTTAGGAGACAAGAATGTAACTGAAATGAGTTTGGGAAAGCTATGCCATTCCCACCAGGACGGCCTCGGCCCTGCTCCAGGATGTTCCTGACTCCTGCAGCGTGGGGTAACCTTCCCCTCTGCTGTCTCCCCTCCCGTGTCTGTATCCCTGCCTTGGCTCCAAGCTAGTCATCACTTTTTAAATGCCTGCTCATTCCCCAGCGATGATTTGCTTTTGCCTGTGTCCTTTTTAGAGGAAGCTAGACTAGCAATCTATCATTATTCCACATTGCCAGCCCTTTTTATTTTTTGTGACAAGGTCTATTAAGTTACCTGGCTGGCCTTAAAGTTGAGATCCTCCAGTTTCCACCTCCTGAACAGCTGGGGTTATAGGCATACATCAGCACACCTGCTTTCTTTTTTTTTTTTTTTTTCTTTGTTTCTTTCTTTAGTTTTGTGAGACAGGTTTGTCCCTAGGCAAGGTTATGTAGACCAGGATGGCCTTCAATATTCAACTTTTCTGCCTTATCTTCCTGAGTGCTGAGATTACAAGCATGTACCACCACATTGACCCATGTCTTTTTAAACTAAAGCACAGGGCACAACACTGGTTTAACTCACCTCTAAAATTTCTTGAAGTTGCGTTAGAGTCTGTCTCTCAGTGGTAAAGCACTTATTTTGTATCTCAGTTACTTTTTCATATACCCGACACCCACAGGTCAAAGAAGGAAAGCTTTATTTTAGCTCAGTTTGTACAGCTTTCAGTCCATAGTCTCTGGCTCCCACGCAGGGTGGCAAGGCAGAGAGGCATGGTGGTGAGGCACAGGAGAAACAGCTCATGGCAAAGCAGACGGGAAGCAGCAGGGTTGACCCACCTCTTCCCACTGGGCTTCACTCCCACATCGCACCCAGCTATAAACCCATCAGTGGGCGAATCCACTATCCCACACCCACGATCTGGTCACTGCCCAAAGCCACACTATAAGGGCACATGACGCTTTGAAGGGGACATCTAGAAATAAGCCATCACACTTGGCATGAACAAGGACAAGCACCACAAAAAACAAATAAATACACTTATTTGAAGACTTGCTATTTTGTGACTTTGAATCTCACATGATCCATACAATTCTACCAATCACTCCCCCAGGTCCATTCAGCCTGAACTGTGGCTTTCATTTCTAAACTCAAGAGTGTAGCTTTCCTTGCAAATTAAACCCAGGCGAGAGGCAGTATAATGTCGTGATTTGGATATAAGCTCTTTTCCTAACCTCCTCATCTATAAAATGAGGGTGATGATAAATATTTCCTCCCTTAAGGAGTCCTGAGGATTGCAACAATGCACACAATGTGCAGAGTGCTTTTCCTGACATAGAAAACATTCAGTCCACGAGGTGTGAATAACAGTGATATTAGGGGCAGTGCACAGTTTTAGACTCCCATCTCCCATCTCCCATCCTCATGGACCCTTCACCAGCTACCTACATGTTAAGTATGCAGCTCCAGTCTCCTTCCCAGGAGGCTGGAACTTCTGAGTTCTGCACGCACTCCCTGGTTCTCTCCAGCCCAGATTCTTGCTTGTTCTTGCTGTTCACACCTGCCTTGGGATGGGCTGTAGGATGATTCTCTGAGAGGAGCTTCCACAAGGCTTATGATCCCCTATGAATAGAGAAGGACCAGTGTCTGCACGCAATGTGCAGCTCATGTGGTCAGAGGCTCTTTGCACAACCCACATCCGATCCTCCTGGACTGCTTGGAAAAACTCAGGCACCTGGGACACGACTCTACCTAGAGGGAGATTCATCATCCAGGTGAAACTGGGACTCTGCATTTTAAGTGTACTTTTTAAAGTGGCTTGATGATGCATAGCTTTGGTTATGTGTGTTAGTATTGGAAGAACCAGATTTACTTACTAGTTGCGAGATCTTAGACAATGCTGAATGTTGTATTTAGTACACACACACACAAACACACACAGAGATTTACTAATAGGAGCAAATTCATAAGGTTATTTTTGAGGATTAAATAATAAGATTGCATCCTACGGTCTTGCTAGATAGCCTGTATTAGTTCTGGGATTCATAGAATCTCTGGGATTTCTCTACATAAACTATCATATCATCTGTGAATGAAGAATTAGTTTTTTTCCAATGTGTTTGCCTTTTATTTCTTTTATATGCTTGATTGCACTGGCTAGGACCACCAATATCATGACAAGTAGCAACAGTGAGATGGTCCCAAATTTAGGGGATTCCCGTTCACTTCTTTTTTTTTTTGTCTTTTTTATCGGTACTGAGGATCGAACTCACAACTGCCTGCTTGCAAGGCAGGCGCTTACGCCGTTGAGCTAAATCCCCAGCCCCTCCCATCCACTTCTTCAACCATAATATACTCAGTGTCTTACACTGTGCCTGGCATACATTAGCACCAAGAAGAAGTTACTGAATTCAACAAAGTTAGTTCCGTCTAAAGATAAAAATTACATTGTTTTCACTGGTACCTCACCCAACCAATGCATCTATTGAGTTACAAATAAAAACCTATAATCTATAGTAAAGAGGTACCATACTGCCAATATAATTAAATTAGAAACTCCCCGCCCCTAGTATTAGGGGTTGAACTCAAGGTCTTCACAGTGAGCTACAAACCACCACCTCCCTTTTAAGGCAGGGTACCGCCAAATCACTGAATCACTCAGGGTAAACCAGCAACTGCAATCCTCCTCCCACCACCTCCCCGAGGGCTAGGATTATAGGCCCGTATCACCACATCTGGCTGGAAACATTTTCAAGTATAAAACTCCTCTAGCAGGGCTTGCGAATTTAGGGATAGGCTATGTACTTAATGTGCAGCTAGTGCTGTACCACTTGCCTGTCTAATGAATTGGTACCAAATTAGTCAACTTAAAAAGAGAAAACAGGGACCAAGGATTTAGCTCAGTGGCATAAATGCCTGCCTTGCAAACGTTCAGTCGTTGAGTTCAGTCTCTGGTATGGATTTTAAAAAAAAGAGAGAGAGAGAAAACAGATCTAATTAAAATGCAGTGACAAGTCAAAGGGCCACTGCCGTTCTTCCTTGTCTTTGGGATAGAAAGTGTGAGAAGCAGGAGAATTGATTTTAGACATTATCAAAATGCTGAAAAGGTCCGGACTGTTTTAACTGTGTGATAGAAAACATAACACTTAATGCCTTGGTGATTAAGCATGAAAAACTTGATTAAAACATTATTTCACATGTACTTAGTGTCACATAGAATGGGATATAGACAAGAGAGCAGAAATAGATGTAATAGGGCTTAGAACAGTTCCTACCTGGGAACTTAATGTTCTATGGTAGATATCAGACTGATGTGCTAGAAATACAAACTAATGTGACCCCTCTTCTTATTGCCAAAATATAAAATGGAAAAGAAATGATCAAAAGGAGCTAGATTTACAGAGGAAACCTTTCTGAAGGATGCAATATTTCCAAAATGCTTTAAAGAAATTAACGCACTTCAGATAGGGAGCGAGAGTAAAAATGTAAGCTTTATAAAATATCTTTAATTACAGCCGTTTTATGTTGTGCTGGTTATTCAAATAAATCAAGCAGATTTAAAGAAAGAGTGGAAAAAAGAGCAATGAAAAAGTAGCTACATTTTGACCTCTGTTTCATCTCTCTGTTCACAAAGAAGTCTCAGACTTCCAGGTTTGCAAAGTCAGAACAAATTACATATACACTTACCTTGTGTGTCACCAAGTTAGAAAATCATCAACTGCTCACCTTTGTAAAACACCTTACTTCCAAATTCCTGCAAGTTAATTAGTGTTGGCCATTGTTATTTTTGAGTAGCATCAACAGAATTCATCCAAAAAAACTTAATTCTGTGGTTCAGGCCTTTTTTAGAGGTAACAGTTAATATTCAACCAATATAAAATGCTATCAGTTTATATGGTTGACCTGAAAATGGTCTCCCCAAATATTTTATTGCCTGGTAATTATAGAGAAATAAAAAACATATAAAACAGCAATGTGTGTGTGTGTGTGTGTGTGTGTGTGTGTGTGTGCTTTCATTGAAGCTGCCTCAAATCTTTCTCACAGAATAAGAAGATAATAAACAAGAAAAAAAAACTTGGGTAAATTTTTTGTCTGCTGCCCATAATTGTCCTTGGGAGTTAGTTTTATTTTTTAACATGTAAAACACAAACCTTTCCAAAGTCAAAATCAGATAGTAAGGTCTATTCAGAGAAATCTTTCTTCCATCCTATTCCGCCAGGTTCTCTTCCTAAAGATAAACATTTAATTAATTTCGAGCCCATCCTCCTAGTGTGCTTTCACAAACACAAACGAATTCACATGTAGACATCTGTCCACCTGTTTTCATGTCTCTTCCACTGTCCCTAAAAGAGCACACCATTTTACAGTTTGGCACCTTGTTTTTTCACTGAAGATATTTTGCAGATCTCTCCAGATCAGAAATCTTCCGCGTTCCACTTCATTGCCCAGTTTGAAACATCAGTGCGATCCCTGTAAAACATCATTAACCAAGTCATTAAAAGTGAGAACTGTAACTCTTGGCAGTTTAGCTCGTCCTGCTTATCTATGGCACGTTTCCATTTTGCGATAATTTATCCACATCTCTCGCCCCTGTTTCCAACTGCTGGCACATGCTGAGAGCCCAGAAAAACAGATTCTGATCATTTGCCCAGGCAAAGCACAGCAAGGTTGCAGGCTCACATGACATGAGACGGCAGAAGGAGAAAGAAACCATTTCTCTTTTTGCTCTCTAGAAGCTAATACTTCATCAGAAATCATGACTTCATCAAAAGGATGAGGTTTATATGAATGCAGTGAAGTGGACTAGAAATGGAGATCTCCCCTTCCCACACCAGTGAGCCTTGGGGCAAGGTGGTGGGTGCTGGACCCAGATGTGGACTGTTAGCCTTCAGTCCATACAGTGCACTCTATGGGGGTGGGGCGGGGGAATGACTCATCTGAAAGATGGACACCACTCTCTGGGACTGTCCTCCATCAGAACTCTTAAATAAGTTGGTCACCCCAAATACAGGACATACGATAATCATGTGACCAACATAGATAACTCTGCAAGATGGTTCCACTCCTTTGTTTCTATCTGTACTAACAATGCTCCGAAATCTAGACAGCGTTCTCCTTAATCAAAGACGACACTCCTGAAATCTTCATTGCAAACATACTCTCATAGAAGCACGGACGGCAAGCTTTCATCGATTTGACTACAATTTTCTCACTATTCCTCTTTAAGACCAAAAAAACGGCAGCAGCAACAGCAGCAGCAAAGTGACAACCCTGTCCCTGAAGCAAGCTGGCCTGGATGACCACTGATCTAGGACCTCATCAATCTCCCCTCCTAGACGAAGGTCAGCATCATTTGCTCACTGTTAGCCTACAAAAATCTAGGCTAAGGGGATAGATAAACCATGAGGCCTTATTTGCTTTAGAAATGAACTTATTTTTTTTCCCCCGGAGAATTCTTTTAGTAACTAGTGTCTTTTGTGTACTTAAAGTAATAATCAACTATTTTCAAACACACTTTCCAGAAACTTGCTTCTGAGGAGAGTTCTGTACACATGAACTTCCTGTTCTGCGGGGGGCGGGGGGGGAATCTCTTAAATGCTGCAGTTTGACATATTTAACACAATAAACAATTATCAAAGTTTTGTTTTAATTATGGGTGATGTAATTTGGGGTTACCAGCAACTATAAGGTAAGTTAGCTTGGTATTTTTCAAGGCCTCATCAGGCTGTGTGGAATTTTAAAAGGTACTTTAAAGAGTATAAAACATGGGAATGTTTAAAACTTTCAATATAGTAGTGAAATACCTTCACTTAGTACTTTGGGGTCTCAGGCTCACTATTAATACAAGCTACAAAGCAAAATTGAGGTCAGAACAAAATATCCTATCTTCTTTCCTCCGCTCCCCCACTCCAGTAAGGGGGATTGAACCCAAGGAGCTATCTTTGTGTTTTTATTATTTTATGTTGAGGCTGGGGCTTCCTAAAATGGCCCAGGCTGGCCGCGAACATCTGTCCTACTGCCTCGGCCTCCCGAGTAGCCGGGATTACACGTATGGGACTCCAGGCCCAATTTCCCTATTACTTTGATAATAAATTATTCCAATTCATTATGCTTATTAAACTTTTTAAAAGGTGTGTGTACGGGGCACAAAATAATAAGCGCAGGACAGGCTACCTAATTTTCTCGGTATTATTAAATATTAAAATGAAAACGCACAGTCCCTCGTTAACCCACTGAGACTTTCAAAAGGGCGACTTGCAGGATGTCAACCCGCACAGGTCAGGTCGCAAACCCTCGAGCCAGCTCTGTCGTTTCGCAGGGTCGCAGCCCTGCTGCAATGGTGCGCCAGGCCAGGCCGGGAAGGTCGCGGAGGTGTCACACGACCGAGTTTTAGGGAAGCTGCTCAGCACAGCGAATTCCTCGGAAATCATTCGGCCCCAGTGTTTGCTGTAAAACCACAGATTCCCTTTCTTTTTTATTTTAAGAGAAGCTTTGCGAATTGAGATTTCCCTTTTTCATTTCTTTTTGTGTCATTTTTTTAAACAGTCTCACATCGGTAGCAAACTACTGGCCCCAAGTCCGCGCGGTCCCCGCCGACCTCCGCAGACGCCTGGAAACCCGGGAGGGCTGCACCTCCGGGCTCGGCTTCGGACCTCGCGGGGGTCTCCCCCGGTCCCCAGGCCGGCTCCCCGCCGGGCCGCGCGGCCGCCAGCCCCGCGCCCTCTCCAGGGCGCCCGGGCGCCGGGCCCTCTCTCCCGGCGGCGCAGGACCTGCCTCCCGCGTGACCCGCGCCGTGCGGGCGCAGCGCCCCCCGCGGCCGCGCCGGGAGCAGGCGGCGGCTCGGCGGCGGCGGAGGCGGCGCCCGGCCCGGCCCGGCCCGGCCCTGCAGCCCCCCCCGCGCCGCGTGTCCGCGCCTCCGCGCCCGCCCCTGGCTTCCTCCGCGCGGCGGCGGTGGCGGCGGCGGGGCCTCGCGCGCGCGGTTATTTATTTATTTCCGGGCCGGCGCGCTTATAATGGAGCCGCTGTGCGCGGAGCCTCCCGCCGCCGCCGCCGCCGCCGCCGCCGCCGTCCCTCCTCTTTTTTTTCCCGGCAGATCTTTGTTGTGTGGGAGGGCAGCGGGGATGGACTTGAGCTTGCGGATCGCCTGCTAGAGCCGCCGCGCTTGGAGAGGGCGCCGCAGCCGCCGCCCCGAGGCCCCGCCGCTCCGGCTCCGGCTCCGGCTCCGCCTGCCGCGCCCGCTCGCCCCTCGCCTCCTCGCGCAGCCCCTCGCCTCGCGGCGGCAGATGTGTGTGGGGTCAGCCCACGGCGAGGACTATGGTGAAATTCCCGGCGCTCACGCACTACTGGCCCCTGATCCGGTTCCTGGTGCCCCTGGGCATCACCAACATAGCCATCGACTTCGGGGAGCAGGTAAGCCCGGGGCGCCCCCTGCCCGCCGCCGGCACCCCGCGCCCTGCAGCCGGTGTCCGCTCTCACCCTGCCTCGGCCTCAATCGGGCGCCGCAGCCCGGGGATGAGCAGTGGGGAGTCACCTGCTATCACCCCTCTTCTATCCTGGAACAGTCGGTTGGGTTTGCAGCTTGACCAGGATGACTTTTCCAGCACCCCATTCCCCCACTTGCCCCCTAGTTATTCAGGAGACTTTTCCAGCTCTCTCTGGAACATGATGAAAGACTGGGCGGTGTGGAACTTCACCTACAGAAGGGCTGTCGTGCATAGGGGGAGTATTATGTAATTTGTGATTATGTAAATGTCAGGTCCATAACTAACATGTAGTTTCTAGTAGTTTGAGTGCTGGGAGGTTTCCCTGCTGGGTGGTGATGGTGTGTGGGGAGGGGAAGATTTGGTCGTAGAAGGTCTCCAGGTGGATAGCCCAGGTACTTGTAATTTTTAAATATTTGTTTTGTAGTCTAGGTAAGGACTAGGGGTGTCCCAAATGTGTTTGGTTAAATGGACTCCTGGGTATTTGTACTTAAGGATTTCTTTTTTTCTTTCTTTCTTTCTTTCCTTTTGCCTTGTTGGATCACTAAAAAGGGGCGCACAGTTGGGCTTGGCGTTTCTTTCTCACGTTTTCTGCAGGTGGCATCATTGCAGTCATAGCGCTGCAGACTCTTGTGGAGGGGTGCTGGTACCTGCACTGTGCCTGTGGGGACCTTGTGTTCGCAGGGCCTCCAGCCGGCTGCAGCCGCGTTCTCGGGCCCAGGACAGGATTTGCTGATGGGCGCTACATGTTTTCTGAATATTAACTTAGACCTGCTTTTTTTGCAAATTGGATCATTTCTCTTTATTGTGCTTCAGAGCAGTTGGAATAAAATGCTTTTATTTCATTATGAGTTGTTTTTTTTTTATTTTTGGAGGGAGGAATTGAGGACAGATAGACACACATACGTCCAGCCACCCACTGGGCAGGTGTATCGGCCTCTCTGTAGTCAATGATGATTCATAACGTCAGTAATTTACAAATCCTAGGGTGCAGGGGTGCAGGGGTAAACGCAGTATCTCTCACGTGCTTTCGAGGTGACTAAGTGCAGAATCAAAAATAAAACACTTCATTTGCTTTTAAGTCTCTGGCTTGTCAAGAACAAGAGGATAGCAGAATCATTTTAAATGCCTTTCGGATGATTTCCTATGACTGTAAACACCAGTGTATGAATTTCCTTACAAAATGTGGACAGAACTTTTAGAATGGGCATCCTGCTATGTGCAGGATTCTGCCGAAAGTTGAATAAGCTGCATGGATATGAACGTAGGAAGACGCTGCACACAAACAGTCTCTGAGCTCCCAGCCTCTGTGCAGCTGGCCTGGTGTGCAGAGACCTCATCCCTCTGTCCAGGGCCTCCCACTGCTGTTCACCACCAGCACTGTCTATTGCATATAGATTTCTCTGTCATTTTATAGATCAATCAAAGAAGAAAACCAAATGTTACTGAATACCTATTCTATCAAAACTAGCAAAACCTATTATTACTTTTCTTGTGTGGTTGTGACAGTAATTTCAGAAGGTGGGGTAGGTTGAATTCTACATTGAAAAAAAAGTTATATGGATTAGACTGACTGCTTTTGAATTATTAAGCACTACCACCATAGCCAAGAATGAGAATATATCTGTTATTGAAGGGAAACTAATGTTTGTTGGCACCTATAGATATAGAAAATGCTTGTGATAAAATACTAAAATTATCCTTATGTCCATTTTCACAGATTGAGGAGCTAAAGTGTAAGTGACTTCCTTTCACTGATGGAGCTCCTACTATGTGCCAATGCTAGGGAAGAGTGAGAGGCCTGGGCATGGGAAGCTTTTTGCCCACAGTCACAGGCATTGGGTGGCAGAGCTGAGGTTCACTCTCCTGCCCACCTGGGCTCTTCTGTCTGCCTCCTCCACTAAAGCTTAAGAAATGATGTTTGCCTAAGAATCTTAGAGACTTAGGAATATCTTCTACCTTTTTTGCTTCAATCTTGTTGTCATGCCTTGAATTGTATTTTAATTTTTCTTTTTCCTTTCCTTTTTTTTTTTTTTTTTTTTTGTGACAGGGTCTTACTATGTAGTCCAGGCTGCCCTGGAACTCACTATTTTATTCCAGCCTGGCCTTGAACCTGTGTCGATCCTCCTGTCTCAGCTTCCAACTATTGAGATTCCAGGTGTGCGCCACCACACCCAGTTCTTATCTTGAATTTCAACATGTTCACGACAGGGCAAATGTCTTGCTGCCTGGTGGCAGTGGGTAAACCACTGGTGGTACATGCATGATTGTTTTGTCAGGTGGCATGGGACAGTCTCATCTGGTGCTGTAGGCTGCCCAGTAGAAGTCATGTGTGTACCACCAGTGTTTCAAGCTGGCCAGATTGTGTTAAACACTTAGTCAATGTGGGACTGCCATAAAAAGGGTTCCCGGAAGGGGACATTGTAACCAGGAAGTTCATTTAAGAAGATCTGAATTACTCAGATAATTACATCAAAACCATACCTTTTAAAAAATAAGATTGGCATAACCTTTGGTCAAGGGAAGAAAATACGTAACAACTGATAGCAACAATAAAATTACTTATAAGTCAGTATTTATCATTACAACAGTACGGATTGCTAAGGAAAGAATAATGCCGGGGTACATTTTAAAGTGCATGTCTTTTAAAGTATCTGGAAATGTCCATTTGATCTCTCCGTGTTCAAAGGGCTGTTATCTCTCAGTTAAAAACTAAATTTGGTACAAAGTCCCTGAGTTCCTTAAAAGCCAGGCTTTACAAATTCCGCAGAAAAAAAATTAGAGAACTCGTTTGAAAGCTACTTAAATAGCACTTAAAATGTTAAGGAGAACATTGCTACAAAGACTTTGAAAGACAAAGGTAGTCACATTGTTCTCAGTTGACAGAAAGTATGTTGTGTGTGATGCCAGGTAATTTACTCCTCCGGCTTCATGCGATAACTCTAGCTATTTTAAATAGCTCTGCGTGAGTCAGTGAATTTGGTAGGGCGCAGTGTGACCATTCCAAACCTGAGATACTTAATCTGTGAATGAAGAGTTTTGCATAGAGATCGTTACAATCACCAGAGTCAGATGTGTGGTGCGAACGAGTTTTCTCAGTCTACCCTTTCTAACTTAGGAAAGCCCCTGTGTCATTTAGGAAACTTAGAATTAGTCTTTCAACTGTCAGAGAATCTTGTATTAATGACATAAAATGAAGGGGAAAAAAAGAGAAAGACAAACCCCAGAAAAACGAGGTTAATGAATGTTCTTGCTGTGTGTGGAGTAGTGAAGTGCAGCCAGTGTCCCAAAAGACAACAAGTAAAAGTTTCCCTGAGACCAGGATGTATGGCAATAAAAAGGCTAATGCAGTGGGTGGCTCTGGCCCCTACGGGAAGGGGCTCCGCCCAGTGTCCCCGAGCTGGGCTTTCCCCGCTGCAGAGCTGGCACTGGGTGGACCAGTGTCCGTGCACAGCGCACTCCACCGCGCTCAAAGGCAGAACAATGTAAAAGCCCAGTTTCTGTTTCACTCATTCACTTTATCTTATATTAGCTAATTTAATGAAGTACATTTCAAAATAAATGCTTTTCCTAATCATCAAGGTGACCTGTGCTAATTGTTTAAAGTTTAAGTACTGGAAGAAAAAGTAGAGGTCGGATGTACCTTTAATTCTACTCTGGGAAGAGAGCTCTTTTAACAATTTGGGTATCTCCTGCTCACTTATTGTTTAGCACAATGGAGGAAATGTTTGTGTGTGTCCCTGTGTAGTGTGTGTGTGTACGTTGTTTCACAGAACGCAGAAGCATTTTCCCAGATCATTTAGAAATACTTGCATATGAGACTGGGCTTAGCATCCCTCCCCCACCACACAGAGCAAAAGTACTTCAGAATGGTTTTATGGGGCAGCATAGTGTCTGATGACATGAGCGTGCTGTACCTCCCTTTGTGACCCTGTTGTTTAAACACAGGCTTCTTCTTTGAATTTTGCAATATAGAAGTTTCAGGGGACTACTGCATGTGCGAAGAAGTAGATAATGTGCTTTCTCTGACTGCCTTGAGTTTTGTGCCTGGAATATTTTGGCGCCTATTGCAGTTTCTCATTCATACATAGAAAATGAGGTCACACCAGCCCTGCAGTCCATATTTAGTTAAGGACACTGTGACCCCAACCTCGTTGGTCTAGTGGATCTTCACTTGCCTCCCGTGTTTCCCAAGTCTCTTTAAACATACATCTACATTTAAAGCCCTTCTTTTTAGATCCGTTAGGTGACCACATTGTTTTGAGAGCCTCAAAGGTACATTCCTGTGGTTGGTTGGTTGGTTGGTTTACTCATTCATTCATTTATTGGTGGTTGCATGATTAGCCTAAATACTACTTTGTCAGAATCCTTCTTTCCAAGCATGTGCTTTGGACATCAAGCTAGTGACTATGTCTCTTTCTAGTAACACACTAAATTCTTTAAAAGCCATTTGAAGTGTCATATGATATACATATATTCAATGATATTACAGTGTAATATCATTTATAGCATGATAGCATTCGTTAGATGTGACAGTCACACAGCTTTACATTAGTGGTAAGGGATTTGGTGTCCATTTCTTTTCCAATCTTCCTTTTTAAATTTGGAATAATGGCCAGGTTTGTTGGGCGACAGGAAGACAGTTCTGGGATGGGCAGTCATTCCTTCCATGACGTGCTTGAGCTGGAGTAAATAAAAAATGGTAAACTTAAAGTAGCCTCAGTAGGTCTATATATTTTAAAAAGATAAATGTATTATTTTGGGGGCACATATGACATTATTTGCTGTGCTGCTGAAATAAAACTATTTTCTGCAACATTGTCTATATATATAAATGAAGCACGTGGGTGAATTTTTTTGAGAACTGAAGCTTATTCTTTTAAGTGCAAATCGTTGAATTTCCCTTTTTTATATGTAAACTAGTGTTACATATCTAACCTACATTACACATTTCTCTACCTTATTAAATAAATATAAAAATGTAATGTGACATTTTTAGAGGCCTGTCAATGTCTGTCTTATGCGGAGGGATTAAGAATATCTCCTGACAGGTGACAGATTACTCAGTGAAGAGTTTGACACCAGCCAGTGGGAGCTAAGTTGACTGTCCCTGGGCCCTGCATGGCCATTATTCTCGTGGGCTTCTTGAAACCTTAGATGCATCATGGTTTGGTTTGGCTTTGTCTTAACTTTCAGGCCATGTATCC